CTGAACAGCCCCAACTCCCTCAGCCTGTCCTCATAGAAGAGGTACTCCAGCCCTCAGATCATCTTCGTGCCAATGACGAAACAATGGCAAAATGCTTTCAAAGCCAAGCTTTCCATTTCTGCCATGGCAGACAGCAATTAAGCACTGGACAGCCAGTCGCTCACCCCGCCCTTCCTCCCCAGTGTGATGGGGAGGGGACTGGACAAAAAGTAAAATTTGTAGGTTGAGATAAAGACAGTTTAATGAGACAACAAAGGAAGGAACAATAATAATAACAACAATAACAACAATAAAAAGGAATATGCAAAACAAGTGACACAATACAATTTTTCTCACCACCTGACGACCGACTGCACACCCAGTCCTCAAGCAGCGATCGCAGACCTTGAGGATTTCACAGCAGTCACCACATTTACGGAAAAGTTTCAAACTCAGCAGAAAAGGTCCTGCCCCCTGGCCAGCCCCCATTTATAACCTGAGCATAACGTCTACGGTATGGAATATTTCCATTGGTCAGTTTGGGTTAGCTGCCTCACTATGGTCTCTCCTAGCTCTTGTAAACCTGCTCATCAGCTGAACATGGGAAACTGAAAAAGTCCTTCATTTCTTAGCAACAATTAAAAACCTCAGTGTATTATCAGCATTCTTCTCATATCAAATCCAAAACATAGCAGCTACTGTGAAGAAAATTAACTCTCTCTCAGCTGAAACCAGGACACACATTTTCTTATTAGAGCTGAGATACACTAACCACTTGGCAGCCTCTAACGGCAAAAAGGCTAATGCACAAAGTTTGTGCTTGTTGCCTTTTCTGGCTACGCTGTTCTCCCTCCAGCCCCAAGGCCAACTTTGGTGTACTGGAAAACCACAGGCCAGGCTGACTCTACTCTATAATGCAGCAAAACAATTTTCTTTCAGCCAGATTAGTTTTCTGCAACTGAAGAGGTGAATAGTTTGACATATGATACAGTGTGAAAGAGCCAGTGCAGAGGCAGGAACATGTATCCAGGCATAGAACGTACCCCTTTCAACAGAACCGAGCTGTTAATTCAGCTTAAGCCATAACATGAAACCTCAACTAGCAAATGCAAGTGTAACTTCCTGTCACTTACTTGAATCCATTCCCGTTCCATCATCCAAAAAACACAGCATGAATCCACCTCGTAGGTCTTCCCGTTGCTCTACAACAGAAGAGTTATTCACTACTCCCACAAGCAAAAGTTAAAAGTTCTGTAAAATGGAATCAGTGTTCACAACAGAAGTAACACAACAAATTGGACTTTCACAACCCCAATATGGCAAAGCTGTAAGAAAGAGCACCAGTTTTCTTACAGAATGACCCAGAACTTCTCCTGCACTTTACATTGTATGTAAATATATGCTAAAGAGCATACCGTAGAAGCAGGTTCCTTAAGCACCCAGTATAAACAGCTACTCACTTTACCTGACCTCAGCTGAAGGCTGATATAAGTGCTTGCCTGAGTTATTGGAAAAGTATTACTTTTTGAAAGACAACAGGCACTTGGGCAAAGGACAAGCAGTAGAATCATAGAATTATTTAGGTTGGAAAAGATCCCCAAGATCATCAAGTCCAACCATAAACCTAACACTGCAAAGTCCACCACTAAACCTTGTCCCTAAGCACAACATCTACACATCTTACAAATATGTATAGATGGTGACTCAACCACTTCCCTGGGCAGCCTGTTCCAACGCTTGACCACTCTTTCAGTAAAGAAATTTCTCCTAATAGCCAACCTAAATCTCCCCTGATGCAAGTTGACACCGTTCCCTCTTGTCCTATCACTTGTTACTTGGGAGAAGAGACTGACACCCACCTTGCCACAACCTCCTTTCCGGTAGTTGTAGAAAGCAGTAAGGTCACCCCAAGCCTCCTTTTCTCCAGGCTAAACAATCTCAGTTCCCTCAGACACCCCCCATAAGACTTCCTCTCCAGACCCTTCACCAGCTTCATTGCTCTTCTTTGGATGCGCTCCAGCATCTCCATGTCTTTCTTCTAGTGAGGGGCCCAAAACTGAACGTAGTATTGGGCATAAACACCCTCACTCTTATTCTACCAGGTACAATACGCATTTGCAGCCTAATCCAAATTAACTACTGACTTAACTGCTGACATGCAAGGAAGCACCAGAGCGACTTACCAGTATAAATGTCTATTCTCGTGGCATCTGCATCTCTACAAAGCAATAAAAACACAATCAGTACTCAAATGTGAAATACAAATGAAGCGAAAATCCAGGCACAGGCAATAATTTCCAAAATGAACTGGCTGCACAGATCCAAGTCCACAAAAGCCCCAGTCAGCACTAACAGACAAGTTAAGACACACTGTTCTACTTTTTGCCTACTTGAACCCAAACACCAGCAGAAGACTTTGCTGCCACAAAACTAAACCTAGTTACAGTGAGTATCACTGGCTTTTGGGGGCGTGGGGTGCGCATGGATCAAATACGCACACACTTCTGAGCTCCCTCCTGTATGAAATAAACAACAGCTACATTTTTTCTGTCACGCTACCTATGACAAGTTTAGTAACTCCACATAAAACTCCATCCAAATACATTCAAGGTTGTCACAAGAAACTGTCATTACAAGATCCTTTAAGCAAAGCCCAGCATACACTTTGCATTCACCTCTGTATTTGAAAAAGCAGCATACAGAGCACTATCGCCCTCTTCTAAAAACCAATCTTTTTTTCATGTAGACCATTACATACCCTTGATTTGCTGATCAGAAGAGTGCAGTTGTAGTGCTGTAATAAAACCCCACTTCCCAAATGCCAAAGTCACTTTGTCTTGTCTTTGTATCTCCAGCCAAGCGCATGTACCACCTTCCCAGAAGGCCAACCTCTCTTTTTTCAGAGGAGGAACCAAGAGGTTGAAGAGAAAACCACACATTAACGTCATAGATGCTACATTTAACTATGTTGCAGGAGACATGGAAATGGCAACAGTGCACACACACATGGCTGATTCTCCACGCAAAGTTCTTGCCACACAGAAATCTTCCACTTTTGGCTCCTTACGAACTGCATAGTGTGACAATTCATGCTTGACAGAAAATAATCTCATAATATTTCCACACTGCCACATCAGAATATTTTGTGAAGCTCAAGAGATGGCAAGGCTTGGGACACAGCTATAGCCTGGACTCCCGAATGCAAACATAAGAAATGTTGCCTAAACCCTGCGATTTCCAAATAGCAAGTCTCCCAAGTGTCACAATTGCTCTAAATGTTCTTGCTCTATTTTTCAGCATAACAATTCTGACTTCATTTTCATCCTGTAACCATGCTTGATGCTAAGGGTCAGGGATGGTCTACGTATCTCAAGAATCCCAGCTTCCGTCATTATTATTTTACCAATTTCTTTAAACAGGCAGGCTTGTTTTTTCCTTAAATCTGTCTTGTGTCTTCTAACAATTTCCCTTCCAAGCCGAGTTATTCTATGATTCATTCAAACTTACCTTTTCAGAAATAATTGTGGGGGTTTTTTTAAGGGACTAGATGTTGCAGTGTAAGAGGAACAAGGGAAATATTTATACTAAACTACAGCAAAGTCTTCTATTTTGTATTTCTCGTAAAGTCTACCAGAAGTGAAAATTGCTCAAGATCAGTAAGTAAGCAGGCTAACTAAATGTTAACGAAATTTGCCTTGGGAATTGGGCAGTCTCAGGTACATACCTGGCATTATCTAGAAGTTCAGCAAGGGCACCAAACAAGAACTCATGGGTAGTTCTGCAATGAAACACAGAATCAGCAGGGTTACAGTGACACTCAAAAAGAGAGATGTTTAAATAAACAAGAATCTCAACCACATTTTAAACAAATCCAATTGTATGTCTACAATACAAATGTCTGCCACTGACAGCAGACTAGAAATGAGTGTTTTACTGTCTATCAGAGGCAGACACCCAGCAGACCAGCTGCCCCGCGGAGAGTCTGATTCAACAAACTGCTGCTTACTATGGTCTAAAAAATACCACATGGTAAACAGATACAACAGAGAAAATTCTTGATGTAATGAACCAGCCTATGAACCAGTCAACAATTCACATAAATTCTTCATTATTCACCACATTGACATGTCTCTTCACGGCAATTAAACTGTGCCTGTGTGTAAAACATGGACAGATGAGGTCTGTCTATTCACTCTGCAGAAGTTATTTCTGACAGGAAGAAGCTTCCAGATCCTGGGAGACTTCCAATAGCTGCAACTGCTCCCAATCCAGAGAAAGACAGTCTTCTGCCACCGCTGTACCATACCACCTTCCAAACTCAACGCTAAAATCGTCTAGCCAGGTGCCGCTTAGCACAATCTCAAAAGCCATGTTTAGTTTCCAGCCTTTTATAAGCAGCACTCATTTGAAAGCCATTAGTTACGTGCCTCAATCTTGAAAGAAGATATATGATGAGAAAAACCTTAAAAGAGCTAATAAAATAATTACCATACAATGTCTGCCAACATTAATGTAGTATCTCCACTGAACACCCAACTTGGTGACCTATCTTCAGAATCTAACAATTATTTCAAATGTAGAATGAGTCACATTGACCCCAATACCAACAGCAGCTACAACACCTGGGGAAACAGTTGCTGGAATCTGTTACTCCGGTAGGATGCTCAATGAAGAGACTGACCCCTCAGAAACTGTTTTCATCAACGTGTTTCAGTTTGCACGAAACCTCTTCACATAGAACCTGCTTTCACTACTACACAAAAAGGCCAACAGGCTACCAAACAGAGAGTGACACTTATTATATTTTCAGCTTTCGAAGAATGGATACATAGGTACTTCCCACACATAAAACATATAGCTGTCCATAACAAAATGACCTTTCATACCCATCTTCAATGTCATGACACCTAATCCATCAACGCAGCTCCAACCAGAGGTAAAACACATCAGCTTTCAAAGCTATCACTAGAACCATGAGAACAGAGATTTCCATCTCTGCAAGCTCCCGCTTGCCCACGCGGAGACAAGAGAAAGAAGGGAATGGTGTTTTGAAGACTATCTTCCCCATCAGAAAACTTCCACAGAAGCTCAAAGTGGGTATTATTTCCTTTGAGCAGGATTTCCTGTGCACAGCATTCCAGCGTTCCCTCGAGTTTACAAGCACATATTCAGCTCCACAAATCGACATCCCAAAAGTTTATACAGGAAATAACCAATGCCAGGAAAAACCCATAAGCAAATGGATGCTTTAGCACTAGTAACCATGCTTCGTTAGCAGCTTTTACTCCACAATTTAAAGAATGCTTCGAACTAAGGACAAGATGCAAATATTTCCAAAGAAAGATACTGGAACAAAATAGCTGAAAACTTAGCTGTAGATGATAAGTAGAGAGGCAAGAGAAAACATGATTTCCACATAGCTTGACACCATACTCCACCTAAGTATCTACCAAAACTGGAAACTCTTGTGCTGACACAGGCAAAGTGAAACCTTGCTATAAGCAAGTGAAATCCAGCCCACCTATTTATCACTGAAGAATATTTGTATACACTATAAGTATCTCCTATTCAGTATATTAATCTCAACACTTACACGTATCTTGTCAATATCTAATTAAAGTCACATGAACTGCCTTGGCCTAATTTAATTAGCTCGGCTTTAACAAAAACCATGGTCTTGCTTTATGGTCAAAGTGCCTGAAATAAACTTGACATCCACCATTATCAACTGGTGATAATTTTCCCCCACCTCCCAGAAAAAGCTTGGTACCATTTTACTTGCAACAGAAGTTTAAAAAATACAAGGCAAGATGTTGGCAAAATGGAGTCTATCAGAACTTGCACATAACCTGGAATCACTTAAGCATGAGCTAGATGGACATCATCAGAGACAATAGCAATGTCCATCAGTCAGAGCACTTGAAATACAAGTATTACTGGTCATACAACTGATGAAACAACACATGGAAGGGGGGGGAAGTGTTATCAAACTCCGTAGTCTCAGCGACAACTCCTCTTGATGGAAGCAGACTGGCTTGGACCTTCTTACGACTTCCAACTTTCACAGGAGACAGTACCATGCAGGAGTGCAGGCTTGACAACAAACAGAACAGGGAAGTCCAATACTGCCAATTTACTGAAATTCAGGCTACAAAAGGTCAAGTCAGACAACTTTTTACACCATGACTGATTTCAAACACCTCTACAAACAGCCATTTGGAGTAACATCCCAAGTGAAGAAAAGCTTACTTTGTGAGCAGTTCTTAGAGGATCATCCCTGTGGACTCCTAATACTGCATAGTCAGACAAGTACCTAACTACTAGTGAGAGACACAAGACTTCCATTTTTGTTCTGAAGGAGGCCACATCTGGGAAAATGTTTAAGTTTGGTATCTGCATCAGGGGCAAAAGCTATCTTCTCCGTACTGCACTCCATTTCAGGACAGAACATAAAACACACACAAGAAGAAATGGGAGGGCTTGGGGGTTGGGGAGATGTTGTTGGTCTGTTATTACTAGTATCATTCAAGTATACCATTCGGTTATTCTGAAGTCTTTCTATTTCAGTGACCTTCTTCCACCACAGCTGTATTCAACAGGAGAATTCTAGTTACACAAAAAACCCCTCAATTTCAATCACAAGCTAAATCCTAGCTAGTGTTAGAAGGTAGTTTCAGCTGTTCAGCTTCCAATAAACTCCTACAATTTTTCATTACGCATATTCAAAATATGCAAAAAAAAGTTGTTTGGGCTCAGGTGTGTTTTTGTGATCATCTCAATAAATGGTTTTCGAAGTATCTTAAAGTAGCAGCACTTAATTTTTAAGGAAAACCTATGTGAAGGCAAGCAGGTGTCTCTGGGAAGCCATAAAAACAATGCACGTGTAATTTTTACGTGCTTATGCATTGTGATTTTCATTCTAGGATCTAAAAGAACTTTCAGAATCATAGAATAGTTTAGGTGGGAAGGGACCTTTAAAGGTCATCTAGTCCAACCTCCCTCTTTCCTCAAATGAGCAGGGACATCCTGAATGAGATCAGGTTGCTCAGAGCCCCATCCAACTTAACCTTGAATGTTTCCAGAGATGGGGCATTTACCACCTCTATGGGACACGTGTGCCAGTGTCTCACCACCCTCATCACAAAAAATTTCTTCCTTATATCTTGTCTAAATCTACCCTCTTTTAGTTTAAAACCATTACCCCTTGTGCTACTGCCACAGGCCTCACTAAAAAGTCTGCCACCACTCAACCATTCATCAAGAAAAGCACTTGGAAAAACACAGTGGTATTTTCATTAAAAAAAATATGGCAACTAAAGTGATTCACGTACATGCTGTGAAATTTGCCATCAGACACAGAAGCACTACGAAGTTATTGAAAAAATTTGCTGCAAGTCCTGAAGTTCAGGGAACAGATAAACTGCGTTCTGTAAAGCACTTCAAACTGAATACTCTGCCTTAGACATACTAGGACTTTTCCTAAAGGAAGACTTAAAAAAGGCAAAAAAAAAAAAAAGGTCATGGTTTCCTTCTGCACCTTAACAGCTAGACGGCTGATTTTTAACTACAATTTAAAGAACTTCTGCCTCCATGACTACGAGAACATCTTTAGCACTGAAACAAAATTTATCTGAGATGGTACAGTTTTACTCAGCAAGACAGAATAGTCCAAAAGACAAGAGTCTCCGTTATCAAAAGCCCTATATTGTTCTTGGGTTGGTTTTGGGTGTTTTTTTCTCACTTCTTTGTTGAAGGAACAGGGGGGTTGTTTCTTTGTCGTGGGTTGGTTTGTGGGTTTTTTTGCTTTTGAAAATGACTTCCATTGATTCCATTCCCACTGTTAGGGAAGCATTTGCCTCATGCACTGATCCTCATAATCTCAAAGGGCTCTTCACTCATGATGGACGAAAAGCCCTGGCTTTGGCTTATTCATATGCATTAGCTTCCAGCTCCTCCTAACACTGTTGTAATGCAGTTACGCTTCACAGACATGTAGCACACACTGGAAGTAGACCAGCAGATTAAGCAGAACAGAAAGTATGGTGGCAGCACAAAGTAGCTTTCATATTTAATACTTCAGGGTAACAACAACACATCAGCCTTTTCTGCAGCACAGACATAATCTTCTTACAAAGTCCGACAGAGTTCTGGTCTTCCACAGGCAACCACAAGCTGCTGACAGAGGTCTGTCATACAGTCTTCTAATCCATAAATATGTTTGTCTTCTGCAGCTGGACATGAGAATTTCACAAATCAGTGACAGCACCAGGAACGTGACTCAGTATTGTCCATCATCTTCAGGCACCAGACTGTTCATACCATGTGCAACCGCTACCAGCCATGCCAGACAGCAAAGCCACAAGACACGGACCCAAGCGTGAAACCAGGTTCTTACTAAGTTTCTTCTCCTGTGCAAACCCCATTACTTTCCTGCTCCTGAAAAGAAGTGAATCATAATGCTCTTAGCATGTGTGAGATTTGTATTAGCTGCTCTTGCAGACGTATCCTGTGTTACCAACAAAATCAGTCAGATCTGCTTTGAAATCAAGTCGCCCATATTTCCGTGCATCAGAAAACTTTAGACTGCTGCAGACCACTGAGTTCCTTCACTCTAAGCTTGACTTCACACATGGAAAAGGGAAAGCAAAAAGATAAGCCTGCCCTTTATTTCTTCTTCTATTGACGGCAACAGTAAGAGTCAACTCTTCCACAAAACATTAGAAGACAATCTTATGCCGGTGACCAGCTGATTAAAATGAAGAAATGTCAAGTGTAGTTCACATTGTTCTTCCATGGTAGTCTGGCTAAAACAAGCTCTTTCTTTAAATTCTTCTGTATGTAGCACTACAAGGCTCATGCAATAGGCATGTCTCAGATGGGTGCTTAACCCTGCTAAGCACCATTTCCTGGTGGTGCTTCCTATTTTCTAGACGTTTACTCAGAAGTAACCCATTTTAAAGAAGAACTTTGTCTCTTCTTGGGAGATTTTATTTTGAGGCATTCATCACTGACATGCAAAAGCCACAGCAGCTTCAAAATCTGATCAGAAGAATGTCATATTCCTGCTTGAAATATACCTGCACAAAATAGTCAGGCATGAATGAAGTGAGATGCTGCAGACCTCCACGGCTACAGCCAAAGCATGCGCCTCTCCAGAGGCGTGGCCATAAGGGTATGGCTGACCTAAAAGCTACACCCACCTCCTCCCATCAGCCTCCCCCGAGGCCTGTCCTCGCCACACACCGTTATTCTCTATAAACCGCAGGCCCGCCCACAGTACGACGACAGCCCTGCCTGGGCACGTCTGGCTGGGGGAGCCGGGAGCAGCCCACGTGGCGCCCCAGAAGTGCGGGCTAGCGGCGCTGGGGCCGCAGGGGGGCAGCTCTGCCCCACCAGGCCAGCGCGGCCTCGGCCGGGTGCTCCGTACT